TGGGGGGTCACGGGTTGGCAATTTGGGGGGGGAAGTGGGGGGTCTCCGCAGCCACCTCCGTGTTTAAGGCTGGAGTTTGGTGCCGGGGGGGGAAAACTGGCTTTGGTGGGGCCATGGCATGGCACAGACCCCCCCCACCCCCCACCTCCGGCCACCCCCTTGGGGACAGGGTGACACCACACCCCCCAAAAGGTTGTCACTTGTGTCGTGCTGCACCATCGCAGCCCCCCGGAGTGGGTGCTGGGGGGCGGCGTGGCACCCCCTTGGTGCCAGGGTCAGTGATGGGGGGGGGGCAGCATGATCCTGCCGGGATAACCAGGCCCCACGGATCCAGGGATAGATCCCACTCCATCCCCGTGGGCAGGGGAGGGGGCAGATCCCACCAGGACACCCGGTCCCCACAGATCCAGGGACAGATCCCACCAGGACCACCCGGACCCCATGGATCCAGGGACAGATCCCACTCAATTCCCAGCTCCCCGTGGGTGTGGGAGGGGGCAGATCCCACCAGGACACCCGGTCCCCATGGATCCAGAGAGAGATTCCACTCGATCCCTGTGGGCACGGGAGGGGGCAGATCCCACTGGGACACCCGGTACCCACGGATCCAGCCACAGATCCCACCGGGACACGCAGTCCCCATGGATCCAGGAACAGATCCCACTCCCCGTGGGCATGGAAGGGAGCAGATCCCACCGGGACACCCGCTCCCCACAGATCCAGGGACAGATCCCCCTCGATCCCCAGCTCCTCGTGGGCACTGGAGGGGTCAGACCCCACCGGGACACCCAGTCCCCACGGATGCAGGAACAGATCCCACTCGACCCCCGTGGGCATGGGAGGGGGCAGACCCCACGGGGACACCCGGTCCCCACGGATCCAGGGACAGATCCCACCGGGACACGCAATCCCCACGGATCCAGGAACAGATCCCACTCGATCCCCGTGGCCACGGGAGGGAGCAGACCCCACCGGGACACCCAGTATCCACGGATCCAGGGACAGATCCCACTGGATCCCCGTGGGCATGGGAAGGAGCAGACCCCACCGGGACACCCGTGGGATCCAGGGACAGATCCCACTCCCCGTGGCGGGGGGATCCGGTGAGCGGAGGGGGCGGGGAGGACCGAGGCAGGTCACGGATCCCCGTGGGTCGGGGGGAGCGGATCCCCCCGGGGCTGCGGGAATCCCGCGTGGACGGGGAGGAAGGGAGGGAGGGAGGAAGGGGGAGACCCCCCCTCCTTCCCCCCCAAAGATCCCAGCGGATCCCACCTTCCCCGGGCAGGATGGCGGGGGCTCCCCCCCGGTGGCGGCGGGGGAACGGATCCCGGTGATCCCGAACCGGGGGCGAAAAGAGGGTGGTGGGGGGGGTCGGTCCCGGTTTCCTGCAGCCCGGTAGGAGCGGATGGCGGCGGGGATGCGGGGATCCCCCCCCCCGA